AGCGGACGCTCAGCATAGGTAACGAGGGATGCCAGACCAGGGGGCCGGTGTAGATCTTTAGAATCGTGGTGGAAAGCAATAGTTGGAATCCTAGAATCATAGACTCATTACGGTTGGAAGAGACCGCAAAGATCATCAAGTCCAACCGTATACCCGATGCCACCATGCCCCCTTAAACCCACTAAACCATATCTTGAAGAAAGCAGGACCTGTCCCGACTACATCCCCTGGGTTGTGTTTGCGCCGCTCCCCTTCTTCCCAGCTATTCTGTAAGAATTTTAAATCAGAATGCCAGATCCAGTTTCCTTGCCTGCTTCCTAAGGTAATTCCAGTTAGCTTTCAAAAAGTGAATCGGAAACCTTCTCTTTTTCCCCAGAGTCTTCCCCGTCACTTTGTGTATGTTTTTACCTTCCTGTTATTAAAAAAGCCACACAGAACAGACGTGAATTGGGGGGGGGGGGGGAGGCAGGAAGAGTGATTAAATGCACAGTTCTGCTTGATACAGAATTTTGATCTAAAATAGTACGTTAAGAATCTGCTTACAGTTTTTGCCGTTTTAACAATAGCTTGAGGAAGTGACTTTGCTTCCTTATTCTTCAGTTACAAACACAAAAGCATTTCTAAGAATGGAAGAATATCAACAGACACATTTTTGTCTTGACACCTTTTCAAATTTGTTTTTGTATGTAGAGTTGATCAGTGTTTTAAAAAAACCAGTCTATTTTCAGCATTGTACTCGAGCATTATTAAAAAAAAAATCTATGTAAATTAAGACTTTCAGTTACCTGATACCTATTGATTTTAAGATTGATTATTTTTTTATTAATTACATGTATAAAAGGGATGCAAAATTTCATAGTACTTACTATAAAGGCCTATTGTCAATTATTCAAAACAATTCCGTTCAATTGAACTGTGACATTTACTTTTTTTGTCTTGCAGAACATTCACTGGAATCCTCAAAGAATAAGGTAAAAGATACTAGAGATTAAACTGTAATAAAACCTTTCAGAGACAGATCCCAGAAAAGAACATGTGCATTTACTTTTTGAGGGTGGAGGAAAGTAGAGGAATAAAAGGCAGAGAGGAGAGAACAGCATTTTGGGTTCTATATCCTAGGGTTAGTCAAGGTTTCTCAACAATAACCCCAAGTCCCTTCAAATGTTTCCATCTCTCTGAAAGATTACCTGCTCTTTAGCATCAAGTCAGACGAGTCGTTATACAGAGCTTCTGTTCTTGGAGAGGGTCAGTTCTCCCTGTCACAGTAATCTCTTGCTGTTTTTGTAGAAACGAGAAGTGCGATATAGATAAACGAATCGGATAAAGCAACTAAATGCAGTTTATACAATAGTGTCTTGAATTGTTAAAAAAAAAACGTGGTGCAAGTTTGCAGGTAGACATTTAACTGACAAGCTCATTCCAATTGTTTTGTAGCAGTTAGACCTAAGCTAACACTTTAAACCCTCAAATTTGTGCATCTTGAACAAAACTTTTCCTCCTTAGACAGTGAGGTGACTGCATTCTCCCTTTTTCTAGCAGATCACTGTAACGTGATGCTGAGAGAGAATTAGTAACTGTCACAAGCATCTTTGTTGCACTAGAGCACAGTATGGGTGGGTCCTTTAGCATCTCATTTAAATCAAATATCAAATTTATATCAAATTTAGTAATGTTCAGTTTTAAAAGAGTTAACCTTTTGCTTTACTGAAACGAAGGTGCTTTGGTGTTTGCATTCTCTAATACGATTCACGCTTTGTGACCATACAATTTTAAAAGACAAAGTTATATTGTTGTGAAGTGATACTTAGGTGGGCAGTGTATCATTATCATTACCAGTATTTGCCCTTTTCTCTAGAAGACTGCAGAAGAGCAGTATCTTATATTAAGTTCTTTTGTTTCACCCCAGCATTGAAACCTCAACTTTGTTAGTTCATTGTCTCCTAATTCTGAAGTATTATTTCCTTACTGAAGTTTTACCACATTTGCTCCCAATAGCTGCATTTGTTTCAATTGGATTAGGAAGAATATGTTTCAATTCAGCATTTGAAAGCAAACGAGAACTTAGACTAAACAACTCTGGAGCTTCTTATTTATTCCTTATGGGACTTCTGTGTAAACATTGTTGTTTACAGTCTGACAAAGTTACAAAGTATGCTTTTATGTAATTATTGCAGATCTTATATACGATTTGAGTTTATTGCGAAGGTTTACAATAAATGAATTGACTATTCTCCTTTTATACTAAAGAGTACATACAGGGCAGCTATACAGAAGCTGAGAAGTAAGAATAAAGTAGATAACAGATTTCTGCATTCCTCATCAAGCTTTTTACTGTGTTAACTTTCAAGGTTTTAAGAAATGCTGTACGTGTTGAGGAAGCTGAAGTGGAGAAGTGTGTCAGAGATGTCATGAAAGAAAAGAAAATCGATCAGAAGGATACAGGGTATGTTTGGAACCCGAACATAAGTTCACGGCAGATAATGCTGACTTCTTGGCTCATTCTTGCAGTTGCTTAATCTGATACCATATTTAGGCCATTCACCACAAATCTTTAGACTGAAATTAGAAAATAAGGTATGGTTATATCCTCTTCAGTTCTAGAAAATAAATCACAAAGTTTTAAACGACATGGATTTGGGATAACTGCATCTCTATCTTGCAAGTCCCTTCTGTTATTTCTGATTTCTAAGTAATATGATTATTGCATAGGCTGATTACATGAACTATGTAATTGCTTAGATATATTTGAGAGAGTATAGTGATGCCCAATTAATGTTGACATTCATCTACATAAGTAATTATGAGCGATTGAGAGGAAAAATTGTGAATAGTCAACATTTTGAAGTTTAATGAAATGCTTCTTTGCAGCTGTAAGCATTTCTGACAAAGTTTTACTTTAAGACTTAGAAAAGGTTTGGGGGTAGGTGAAGGTACAGGGGTCAGGATGATATATGGGGTTTTCTTGTGTTGTCACAGATTTTAGCTATTTTTTTTCTTCTGTAATTTAAGTGAACAGGGCCTGACGCTGCAGCACTAGAATCAGCTAGGTTTTTTTAAGTAGAAATAAGATCCATATAGCAGTATATTTAACCAATATGCTGTAGTTTGAAAGATAAACATAAAGCACTTCCTAATTCTAGTGTGTATGCTGCATTAACATAAGAAAGGTCTTATCGGGTAGTTCAAGCAGGCATTTATGGCTAACTACACCTCTTTAATAGCTTCTGTGTGGTGTTTTGTTATTATTTCAGGTTTAAGACAAATCTGCATATATCCTTACTGCAGATATCAGGTTATAAAAAACTTTACTTGAATGTGGAGAATCTGAGGAAGGTCCCATATGATTCGGATAACGAAGAACATGAGGAACAGTTAATTGAGGTGAAAATAATCTTTCAAATACAAAAGCTGTTTGTTTTTTCCCCTCCAAGTCCAACAGCTTGAATAAACTTAATTTATTGGTAGTATTCTTCCCAGCTGGCCTATTTAAAGCTCTTTTCTACTTGTGCACTGCTAACCCATTATAGAAGTGACACATTAAAATACAACATCAAAGCAAAACAAATTAGTAAACTAGAGTTACTTGCACTGGGATTATTTTATGTGTTGTTGTTTTGTCTGATTTCACACAAGTAGCAAAATAATTTTTTTAACAGGTCACTGAAGCATTGTAACTAAAAAGATATTTAACCTTATGCACATGTCTAACTTTGTAAACCAGTAATTACTAAATAAAAAGACATTACTGTTTTCTTATTACTGCATCCCAGTCAATGTGAAAGCAGATAGTTTTCATCTTCCAGCATTAAACCATCAGTAATGTATTTAATAGCAAGCAAATAATATAATACTGCTTCAGGCTCTTTTAAATAGCTTCTACTGTGCAAATATATTAGCATGTAATTTTCTTAGCATTTCATAATTATCTCAACTTGCTATGCAAGTCCCACCATTGATGTGTTAAGTAAGCATTCACTCAGAATTTGTATTTCAGTTTATAGCTATCCTATCAGAAAATGATGCATAAATTAATTTCTAAAGTGAAACAAGTCTTTGTTTCTTTAGTGTTGATACAGTGGCTTTGTCTGTGAAGGGAAATTATCGCATTTAACGTTAAATGTAACCATTTTCATAATTGCTGAAATAAGCCATTGTAGTATGACTCCAGATTGCCACTAACAGCAAAAGAACAGCATGCTCACAGTATCCTATTCCTTAGTGAATGGTTTCTAATGTGCAGCAGCAAGTGATCTGAATTATGTGACTTGGCATACTTTAGCAGCTGTGCATAACATGGAAGCATATTTGTGCAGCTTTGGAATTTGCTGATGCCTCATGAGAATCTGAAGGCCAGAATCACCAAGCAGTGGTGTGACATTGGCTTCCAAGGTGATGATCCCAAAACAGACTTCAGAGGAATGGGCCTGCTGGGGTTAGTGAATCTAGTGTAAGTGAAAAGAAGTATTTAATTTCTGTGGTAACTAATTTTCAATATCTGTGTTTTTTGTCTAGTTAGTGCTATTTGTAATGAAGACTGAATAGAAATGGTGGTTTCTGTACAGTGACAAACTATTTTCTAAATAAGTTAGCATTTCTAGCGGCTGCACAGCTGTAAATGTGTGGTTGGGTAGAGGCCAACAAGCAAGGAGAAGAACAGAAAGTTGCCCAAGACACCTTATTTTTTTGTTGTCATATGGTAGATTTGGTAGGTTATAACTTAGAAAGTAACTTGTCAAAAGCTTTTAAAATTCCTGAATTAATTACTGTAATGAAAAATAAACAGGTTTGCATAACTTTGCTAAGCTAGTTTGTGGACTTGGGTGAACTTCGTATTTGATGTTCAGATCACAGTATTTTATTTTTTTTTACTGTATTAGTTCATGCTGAATATAATTTAATTTGCTACCTTTTCCTTGGTTTTCATTTTGTGCAGTTTTTCAGTACAGAGTAGTATTCAGCTTTAGTTTAAAGCTACGCATTTTAATGTTGAACACATTAATATGTTTTTATATGAACTTAAAAAAAATAACAGAAGATCCTGTTTTACACTGACAGGTATTTTAGTAAGCACTACACCGACGAAGCTCGTCAGATCCTTTCTCGTTCAAATCACCCAAACCTGGGGTGAGTCACTATATGACTTTTTCTCACTTATTCTGTGTAAGAGCTCATGTGAAGACTGCCAAGTATGTGTCCTGAAAACAAAGAGGAAAATACTTGTGTTTTTTTCCATTAAAGGATGAACAAAGGGCCAAAGTAGAAAGGCATGAGAAACTGAACACAGAAATCAATTGCAGGCTGATAACTATGTGCAGGGTTTGTGTTTTGTTTTTTTTTCAGAATAGACTTGTTGGGACAAAAATAGTGTGAAATACTGGCTTTGGTTAACACAGTGAACACCTTTAACATCATAGTTAGCTGTATTTGTTAGAGGCTTAGATTAGATTTAGAAACGAACACTTGGTTTTTGCTTTCTTACTGATCCTGTGTTGCAATGGTATAGATTATCTCTTAAGGTCTCTTTTTCTGCTATGTTCTGCAATCAGTACATACAAATAGATGTTTTGTTGTTGTTCAACTTCAGTTTTGAAAACTTTGCATATTAAAATATTTAGCTCATTTTACAGGGAAATATACTCTAAAACCAGTCAGATAGAGGGGAAAGCTGGTAAGCCTCTGTGCATCGTCTGAGCGATCTAGTCCCCAGTTAACTCCAACACCTACCAAAAATGGCTTCGTGACTTCAATTGTAAATAATATTACCTTGTGCAACTAGGTCATGAATAGGATATCCGAGACATTTAGATCAATTAAATACCCATATCATTGACACAAATTAATCCTTCCCCCTTCCCTCAGAAACACTTGTTTTAACAGTCCTTTAAGAATTTCTATTGTGGTGCTTTCTATATCACACAACAGAAAACCGGATTTTTTTCAGCTTGAAGAACAGGTTGAGGTGGCCATTCCATTTATACTGTAACAATGTTTTTGATGTCTGATTTTTAATATTCCAGCAGATTGAAGGATTTCAAATGAGCAAATTGAGGTCAATGTTGATTAGCCTTACCATCTCATCATTGCCTAATGGAGGCATTTGCCATACTATTGTATTGGAAACTAGCGTTTTTAAATAACTTTTACATGGCTGGATGCACCAGGGTTGGAAAGAGAGGTCTATAGGCCGGACTCAGCTTGTCAACAAGTATCATAGAAAAAATTGACTCTTACAGTTATCCTAATGCAGACTGTTTCAGGGAAGCTTTCAAGTCCTTCGATCCGCAAGGTAAAACGTGACCTATGATTGGTGTTGCAGATATTCTTATGCAATAGTTGGAATCAATCTGACAGAAATGGCATACAGCTTACTTAAGAATGGTGCTTTAAAGTCACATCTGTACAACGTGGTCTCTGGATTGCCACAGATGGAGCACTTCCATCAGTTTTACTGTAAGTATCTGCAGCTTCTTTAGTGCAGACTACCAGGGGGAGGCCTACAATACAGAGTTTAGGTTTCTTGGAGTGCATTTCCACTCTTTTCTCATTAGCCAGAGCAAGCTGTTTATCTTCTGGATCAGGTATTGGAAACGAACCTGATGCTTAAACATTGTGCTACAGAAATGTACATTTAAGGGATGAATTTGGGTGGCTTTCTATATATTAGAGACTGCAGCCTGAAAACTCAGTATTTGCAGATTGATTTTTTTATTCACTCTTACAGTACCCAAAACCTTGCTGTTGACCAGGATGGGACAGTCCCTACTTCAAGGAATTGAATAGATTGTAAAGGATCGTTCTAGGCCTAGCTAGATCAAGGTAGAAAATTGTGGAGGTAATTTTTGCAGATCGGCATTTTATTTTCTTCACAGGTTATCTGGTTTACGAGTTTGACAAGTTCTGGTTTGAAGAAGAACCAGAAAGCATTATGCACTTCAACCAGTACAGAGAGAAATTCCATGAAAAAATTAAGGGACTTCTACTGGATTGTGACGTGATACTAACCTTACAAAATACAGAGAAACCTTAACTCCTCTGCAGTCTGTGAGGTTCTGCATCAAAAATGGAATTATGCATTTGGATGGAAGTTTTGCATGTTTCACCAAAAACTGTTTAACAATAGAACTTTTTTTAATGTTTAAAAAAAAATAATCAAAATTCAGTTAAGAAAGCTTGGACAATCATCCTCTGTTTACAGGTCTTTATACGCTATTCTCCAAAGGACACCTTTTTTAAAAAAAAACAAACAAAACAAAAACCAACCAACAAACCAACAGAAAAAACAATTCACAATTCTCAAGAGCCTCTGGATCGCTTGCTTTCACAATTTCTTTTATACTACTTGGTGCAGGAACATGAAGCAGGTATTTATGCTGCATCATGTTTTCCATGAATAGGTTTGACTGTTAATTGTCTTTTTAAAACCTCTTTTAGTTGAAATTACTATGGGTTTAGACTTTTTGTGTTCTTGTTCTGTACATGTAATCAATTGTTCACTCATCAATGTTAATTTTCTCTGTAATGAAGAGGTCCACGAAGGGAATGTATTAGTCACTTACGATTTTGGAGAAGAGGCTTAATCCATCAACATACTGACATATTTACTAGAAATTACTTCTGGCTAAGGAAGTTTTTTTGTCTATGGATTTGCAGCAAATTCCTATGCTTGGAAAAAAACTTAGTTTGCAAACAAGAAGAACCACAAGTCATCCGCATGAGGATCAGATCCTCAGACTAAAGCTACTCCTTCTAAAAATATTCCTACTCTGAAAATTTTCAATTCTTCCTAATCTGACTTCAGCTGCTCAGGCTGCTTGACTTTCTGTCTGTTGTCAGCCCTTTCTTTTAGCAGCTAACGGGGTATTCTCAGTGGGAAGTAAAAGAGAGTTAGGTTAGCCCTTTTATAAAGTTCACTCAGCAAAAACCTTTATTGCAGCTACAGTCCCTATTTTGTGAAAATAAATTCACACCAGAGTACGAGTCTCTTAGCAAAGATGCAACTTGCAAAGAAGGGATGCAACTGCGACATGTTCCTTAATCTTGGCATCCTCAGACAATCTAGTCAATAGGACTTCATATGTATATCGTGACTAATTATTGCTTAAAGCAACTTTAATCAGATTTGGTATGACCATCACTTCATTTTCTAAAACCTACTATTAAATAAGTGCCTTCTGCTTTATTCAATCAGCAATTTATTTTGATTCTGTAACCAGATCATAGCCTTAGAAGCTTGAGTTATTTGGGAAAGACTCTGCCAGTATATACCTAAATAGCACACAGTGGCACAAAATTTGTATGCTAACAGAAGCTTTCATTCATGCCTTTTTTTTTTTTTTTCAAAATCATCTCAGGTAAATTACTTAACTTCTAGTCAATGACTAATCATAAAGAGATTCCTGAAGAATACAAATATTGAACACAAGAAGAAAAAAAGACAAACCCTTTTTTGTAATGAATGATGTTACACTACATAAGTATTAAATGTATTATGATAATATGTAATATTACATCTCCTTAGAGATGATCAAAACCCAACCGGCCGTGGTCCTAAGCAGCCTGCTTTAGGTGACCCTGCTTTGGGCAGGGGGTTGGACTGGATCATCTGCAGAGGTGCCTTCCCACCTCAGTAATTCTGTGAGTCTGTATTGTGTAACTCGTGACTTCTTGCAGTGTGTCCACCCAGTTGCTCTTGATCCCTTAAATGTTGGTGACCTCTTATTTGTGGTGAAGCTCCTGATCAGGGTAGACAGTATATATGTAGGAGGTAATGCACTTCTGTTTTCTTTTTATGATACCTTAGGTACAGACGAGAGTTAAATGATTCTCAAGTTTAACGTGTGCAGGGTGGAGAAGGGTTTATCTCATCTGTGTTGGGTTGATGCTATTCTAGTAAAAAAAGAAAAAAACATGAAGATGCTTGTAGGGAGAGCATTTGTGGTTATGCCATGGCTTGTAGCTGAACAGCCAAACGGACTAGATATGATACAACACTGACCACAGAAGTCTAGTTCTTCTGCTGCTCCCAGGTACCTGGGCCCTGTAATTTTCCCCACAGAAAAAGCTGAGATCCTGTGGTGAGTGTTGTGGGATTTAGGCCCTGCGGTGGAGCTCTGTGTCTCAGACCCTTGTAGATACCGGACATTGCTCAAGTCTGAGGAAGGAAGCGGTCTCTTTCCCAGGGCCTGAGAGGTTAGTCCTCTGCTACTTTCTAGCCCCAGCTTCTGTCATGTTTGTCTTCAGTAATAATTTTGGTTATTGCTTGTAGATCTCCTTTTCAAGCAACATGAGACTGACTTTTTGAATTTCAGATGTGACCCCAACATGTTTAGCAGCAGCAGAAAAGGAGATCCCATTCTTTGTTTTCATCTGCAGCTTGCTAGCAAGTAACAAAATTGCTTGAGCCATCTCTCTCAAACACTTCCCTGTGCTAGAGCCTGCAGCCTTTTTTGGCAACCTACACCCTCGTCTTTCCAGCCGTGAGACTTTTACTCAGCTTCTTGTTCATGAGGAGACTGACATTTAACTACTGCTGAGGCTTTTAAAGCCCAGCCATCAAGTTTCAGATTTCCTATCACACACCTAAGACATTTTAGTGTAGAATGTAGATTGAGCCCGATGCGAGATGCATCTTCATTAGCTGCTTTTTTTTTTTTTTTTCATCAAAGTGTGAGCTGGGAGTAACCTGTGGCAGTATACAAGGGAAAAAAGTAAACCCACCCCATCACCCGATGAGCAAGATATATGGGAATGCGTTAGTTTGCATGTAGTAATTCAGGTGAATGTTTGTTAGGCTCCAATACACCTTCCCGGTGAACAGGTAGAATTTGCATGTAGTTTTGTAGGATCGAGTAGCCCAGTCCTTCTGTCTAGGAGTCACTCACTATACATAGACTAGTTAGTACTGGGTGTCCCTGTTTTGCACCAGTGGTAGGCTAATTGTATTATGGTGGTAGCTAGAAAATACGTGGGAAAAGGTAAAATTGTGTTTAGGGAATGGGAAGAACAATGTTTTACTAGTCAGTGGTGTTTTTTGTAGGGCAACAATCCTAAGGTTATGGAAGATTCAAAACGGAGGTAGGCCACCTTTCTGCAAGTTGATGTAATCAATTTGTTTAACAGAATTTGTTGCTTATGATTTATTCTAAGAGTCTTAAAACCTTGGTAAAGTCTCTTGTTATTTATTAACTGTCATGTTTTAAGGTATGTGTTATCTTACTAGAATTTGCAAGTACTGTTAGTTTTCTAACTTGCTGCCTCTTTAAAGCATTCACTATGTGAAAGCTTATATGCAATATTAATTTTAGAAAAAAATTAAAACTGAAGACAACAAGGTGGTTCTCTAAATTTTGTTGTTGTTGTTACTGTAGCAACTGTTTAACAAACTACCTCCACTTTTGTTGTTTAGTGTACCCTTGAAACATGGTGCCACTCCATGAACAAATTAATCTGAAGATAAGTAGAAGTTTACCACAAGCAAAATAAAATCTAGTCTCAGTAAGTAAACACATTGCTTCATAAGTAACCAACTTGCCTGGAAAGCGATTTGAAGACAGTGCTACTTAGGAAGTAAGAAGCTGAGAATGTTTTTAAACTGGTTGTGCTTCTGTCATCCCATACAGCAGTGTAAAGAACAGGGCATTTTGTCCTAAAGGGCAGTAGGAAATGGGGCCAATTTAAGTACCTCAGATAAATAGTTTTGGATTTTTACTCTTTGAAAAACAAAAAAAATTGCAAACAAAAAATTCAACACACACGCAAAGCCCCAAGCATTCATTTCCTAGATTTTCCATCCTAGTTTAAATAACAAACATTTTACAAAAAAATACGGTTAGCCTTGTTTTAAGAATTATCGTGATTAAAAGGTTCGTATTTAGTTAGGTGGGAGTTCAGCAGTCAGTATTCTTGAAAATACTGCTAGTAAACGTGTGGTAAAGATGTAACCTGTTGTTTCTTTCTGTCATACTTGTTTTGTGTTGCTGTAGTACAATGGTGATCAATCTTTGGACTCATGTTTCTTGTGCCAGTCTATATATTGTCTTTCTCTAGGGAACTAAAAAACAGCCCAAGACAGCCTGTGGGCAGTTTCTTCTTACAACACTGTGCTTAGATAGCTGCATACTAATAGAAATTTCTGTTTACCACAATATAAAAGCAATAATGTAAACTGTCATGTGTGTGTAATAGAGATGTCTACAATGGTAGGAAATAAAGAACGAGTTATTCCAAAATATTGTCAACATGAGTGTGTTACGGCCTGCTAGAAAACATAACAATTTCCAGTTAGCCATGCTCTCAGTTCATGCACACACACTGTGATATGAGAGAAAGCTTTATCCTATCTTTTTGTGGTCTTTGTTGGGTTTTGGGTTTTTTTTTCCTTCCTCCAGCTCCAAGAGCTTGTTAGAGGTCTCTATGGTTCTTGTACTGGGCTTGCATTTGTGCCTAGGAAAGGCATTATTTGGAAATAATGCTCTAGCATGAACTGTTGAGGTGGTAGGCAGCAGGACACCTGGGTGTATGGAAGCTGAACGGGAAAATACAACTGCTGGGACAAAGGCTAGCTGGCTCACATACATGTTTCTAGTTTTTTAAATCATCATCCAAGATAGATACCTTAAATCAAACACCAGAAGAAAGGAATAAGATGTGAACCTCACTGTGAAATCCACACAAAAAGTGTTTGTTTTTAACTCTCAAGATTAGTCTGATACCATAGAAAAACAGGCTTACATGCAAGCGCACTTGAAATCTTACATCTGTTGTCGGGAAAGCCCGAGTTCAACACACTTTATGAATTTGTGCGTATTACGGCCTTTAACACTCCCTCACTCCCCGAACCTCCGTCAACCTGTAACTCCCGAGCAAAGTCCCAGCTCCAGTGCCTTGCACAGAGCAAGGGCAGAGGAAAGGCTTCCCGCTTTGCTGGCCGCCCCGCTTCTCCAGCCATCATCTCCCTTTGTTCTACACCTGGCCTGAAAGCTGGTGGCATCTCTTTTTTTCAAATTCTTTTGGTCCATACCACAGAAAGCAGACCTCACTTCCTCGATATACAGCACATACAAAAAGCATATTGGGTTGGAAGGAGGCAGGGAGTGGTTTTGCTGAGTTTCTTTAGCTAGAGCACTACATTGCTGTCTTTAGTGATGGACCAGAATTTTGATTATCGAATGTAAGAATATTACACAGGTAGGCTGCCATACTCGGCTGCAAACGGTACAGATTT